AATTTGACTTGTTACCCACCTCTGGAATACTTGAAAAACGTCAACTCCTAACTAGATTTTGCTTTTACCCTTTGGCGAAATTTTGTGACCCCCTCTGGTAAATGATTCTGGATCTACGCCTGTTATGCAAATCAAGGCAATCTTCTAACAGCAATTTGTAATTGATCTTTACATAGAATCGCTGATTTTATCCTCATATCTAGAATATATGAATATCAATGAAGAAATATCTCCACTTTCTAATCTCTTGTTTCCTCAAAGAGAGGTTGTATCTCCCCTGATCATGTGGTGGAATAAACATTTAAATTTGTGGTATTTAAATCTATATTTGTAAAATGACCTTTTTTTTTGCTTCAAATTTGTTATTCAATGGCTTTTGATATGGAAATGATGAAATAAGCCTAATTACATTATAGACCTGGATTGCACGCAGCACCAATATTCAGTGCTCACAGAAGTTTTTTCCCCTGAGCAGTACGGTGACAAAATAAGACTGTAGGGGAGATCACTCTGTGGAGATTGTCTATATACTAACTCTGGTGTTTTTTGTAAATGCTTGAATTTTCTAAGCTAGCCTGACTTTTTTTTAAATAAGAATTAAATAAGGATAAGTATTAAGCCCTTATCACAATAAATAATGTTAAACAGACTTGTCCCTCTTTCAATCTGAACAAGTGACCCAAGTAATCTAAGGATTGCTGACCGTGTGGGTTCAAACCCTATCAGGGGCAAGCTATTGTTCCCTTGAGCAAGAAACTTTCATTGCTTAGTACTTGTTGGTTCCAGGAACGGATTCGAGAGTGCTTAATTAAGCTTATAGCTTCCAACACAATGGAACTAAAATAAATTTGTACAAACTAATTCGGATAGAAATCTTCATATTTTTTGGGGAAAGTTCAAAGTACTGACTGATTAGCAGTGTAGACCATGATATGCTGTCAGATCTTGGTCTCAGTTGTTCACATGGGTAGCGGCTAATGGCAACGTATATTTCCCTACCATTTAGATTGGACATCTTTCATACCTTTGGCTTTTTCCCTCAACCCCCTCTTCTGGAAGCTATAAGCTTATTGAAACACTCTGGAATCCATTCCTGGAACTAACTTGAGCCGTGTCACGACAAAACCAACATAATGGGTTTGCGACCAGCATGGATCCAGACCAGCCTGCGCATCCGCGCAGTCTGATCAGGATCCATGCTGTTCGCTATCAGTTTCTCTACTTGTTAAAAGGTTTAAAAACGAACAGCATGGATCCGGATCAGACTGCGCGGATGCGCAGGCTGGTCTGGATCCATGCTGGTCGCAAACCCATTATGTTGGTTTTGTCAAGACACGGCTCACTTGTACTTTGAGTACAATGAGTGTAAAGTTTCTTGCTCAAGGAAACAACAGCTTGCCTCTGACTGGGTTTGAACCCACGTGGCCAGCAATCCTTAGATTACTTAGTCCATCGTGTTAACCACTTTGCCACGCTGCCTGATATTGACATCCCTTTAACTTCAAATGTATTGCTCCATATTTAAAACAGATTGGATCCATAAAAAAAAATCGACAAGTTAAAGGTTAATCTGTGATATGGATATTATAGATTTCCTGTTGACCTTCAGAAGGTTAATAATTCTCTGATAATTATTTACTGACCTCTTGATAACCTTTCTAATATTGTTTTGTTTACACCTACACAAAATCAATAGTAATTCTAAGAACTTGAAACCATCAACATTAACTGTCTTATAATCTAAGAAATAGAGAATAAAAATTGGAATGATTTAATGATTTGCATTTTAAAAGTGTTTAAAGGTCTATACACCTTGATTTCATCTGACTGCAATGTATTAATCAGCTGGTGGCAAGAGTTAAAGGGACTCCACCTAAGGTTTTTTTGACATGAAGGGACTTCCTAGATTAATGTTCCAGTTGATGAAGAACTAGACCAGTAACTAGTGTGCACCAGTAACTAGTGTGCAAAATTTTAGATCATACGCTCTATCCGTATTTGCAGAATAATCATTCTAATTGTGAAAAATTACCCAATATTGAAAAGTGCTTCACTCAAGTTAGACAAAGAATAGCACAGAAATATGATTATTAAATTTTTAATGTACCTACATGTAATTTCAATTATAGCCTTGCTTTACATACCTAATCTCAATTGTAGATTTACATTTTAGCAAATATTAATTACAGATTTACCTCACAAACATAATCTAAATTACAGATTTACCTTAAATAGCTATTTTCAAACAAATGTATTTACAGATTTACCTATTGTACCTTATGTCAATTACAGATTTACCTTACATAGCTATTTTCAAACAAATGTAAATTACAGATTTACCTTATTAACCTTAATGTGAGTTACTGATTTACCTAACATAAATTGCATGACTTATCATATAAAAGTAATATCAATTACAGATTTAAGTCAAAATAATGTTAATTACAGACTTGCTATATAGCTAAGTTAAGTTACAAAATGCTGATTACAGATTTGCTTCAATATACTGTCATTTACAAATTTACCTGACATACTAATTACAGATTAATCTAAACGTACTTAATATTAATAACTGACAGTAATTAGTTGTGAAATGTTAACTTTCAGCATATCATTATTAGCATGTAATGCTGACTTTAAGAAATACTCTAAAAGCATGAAATGAAAGCATGTCTATATTTGCATGAAATGCTGACTTAAATGTTGACTTTATTAGCATAAAATATTGAGTCTCAGTATGACTATAAGCATGAAATGCAAACATTATTTCATAACCATGAAATACTGAGTTTCAGTTTGACTATTAGCATGAAATGCAAGCATGGCTTTATTAGCATGAAATACTGAGTTTCAGTTTGACTTTTATCATGAAATGCAAGCATGACTTTATTAGCATGAAATACTGATTTCAATTTGACAATTAGCATGAAATGCAAGCATGACTTTATAAGCATGAAATACTGAGTTTCAGTTTGACTATTAGCATGAAATGCAAGTATTATTTTGTAAGCATGAAACAATGACTTTCATTGAAAATGATTGGTATGAAATACTAGCATGACTTTATTAGCATGAAATGTTGAGTTTTCACCTAATCGTTATAAGAATACAATGCTTTTGTTGGGTTTTACTTTTAAAGCTGGAAATGCAGATAAACAGCTTGGCTTTTGTTTCATGATATTCAGTCTTTTAATGGGATTTAATTAGCATGAAATGCAGGCATGCAGCATGTGACTTTATTACCATGAATGCTAAAATTTCTTTATAACATTGTAATGCCTTCAGCATGATTTTATTAGCATAAAATGCTGACTTAATAGGACAGAATGACAGCAAAGTAGTATATTTAAGAATTAATATATATTGACCTCCCAATAACCTTATAGATATGTATTTTTCTGTTTCCATTAACCACCCCCACAGAATCAATATCATATATCGTGACTATTTACAATCAACAGTTTTCTTATCTTAGAAATATAAGAGAAAATTGCCATGGATTTCATTGACATTTGAAATAACGTTTCTACCTTATGTAGGCAGCTGGTCTAATAAGGTATCATATTTTTGAGTCATAGGGTGGATTATTATAATACAGCAATGATCTGAAAGCTGTTGCAACTGTTTAGGGTTTTTTTTGTTGAAACTAAATGGCACAGAGCTGAGAAATTTTGCTTGTAGTATTTCATTGAGATGAACCACAGCAAATTTTAAATTAATCATGCACCTGAGTTAATTAAATGATCTTCAGGCAGTTTTATACATTAACTTTAATTAATTAATTTAGCCATTTTTTTTTTCTCTCTGAAACTACAAGACTTTGATCTTTTATATCTGGTATGTTGCCTTATCTAGCTGTATCTTTTCTAAAGTTTAACCTTTACCAAACTACATATGGACCTCGGAGTCCATCTTCAGAGTCCATCTTCAGCCTGGACTAAACCATTTATCATTTTTAGGGGGAATTTCAAAATAAACACTGTTCTACATAATATTGGTTCAATAAAATCTATTTCATATAAGCCAACAAGCATAAACAATTTTTAGCCCATAAGGATGAAGTATACAGATTGAAGATTGAATGAACCTTAAATTGTCAACCTAAACACTGAAACTCACCATCAGGTGAGTGTGATTAGAAAATCGAGCACTGTACCATTATACCACCGGAGTTAAAATAAAAATGAACACAAATCTGAAGGCATGGTGCTTTGGATGTAATGAAAATGCACGTATTGCCAAACTGGTATTTAGCTTGACTGTTTTCAAGCAAAAGCCGAGCTAAAAACTCATTCAGCCATTGTCTCCTTGAGCATGAAACTTGACACTGCATTATTTCAGGCTAAAGCGAGCACCTGAGTAGAATTTACAACATACCATAACCTAGCTGCATAGCTTCCTCACATGTGGCTAGTGATTCTTAGATATTTAGTCCAATACATCAGTAACATGACAATGTCGTCATTAAAGTTGTTAACTTCATTTTGACTTCTTAAACTGGTATGTTGCTATTTAAGAAATAATATATCCCAAACAGTGATTTTATCGCTCAGTAACATCACTGTTTTGAGTTCGGATGCCAGGAATTTTATCACGAGGGCGTAGCCCAAGTGATATGATGCTCATCTGAACGACAAACAGTGATGTTATCACCGATTTGGAATTATTATTTCGATTCTAACAGGACATAAACAAATAAATGCTGCCATGCCAGATATTAAGCTCAATTGCGCCTGTTTGTTTCCCTACTTATTTTCAGCGAGTCAGATTTTTAGTGGTTACATGTACGTCACATGTATTATAATACGTCGCATATCTAAATTAAGAACGTCAACAGTGATTATATTGCATAATATCATACACTTTCGGTTCTTCTATATTCAATAGGGAAAAATGTGGGTCGTGTTAGAATTTGATACAACAGTCACTTTTTTCATTTGACAGTCTTTGAATGTCTGAATCCACATTCCAACAAAGTCAAAGAAACAACAAGATAGACATATCTTTTTACAATTTATTTTTTTGTTCAGTATTTTTAAAACAATAAACACTCTTGCCTCAAAGAAACATTCAAGTTGCATAAATAAGTACTAACAAAATGAAAACAACTAAACATCATACAAAAACTTGTGTATTTAATATAATAATAATAATAATATCTACAGATGATCTACTCGGCAATAAATTATTTTATACATCACTGATTATCGTGCACAAAGCAATATCTTTCCCAGATGTACGTATATTGCACTTCTGATTTCATGTTCGAAAGTAACACACTGACCCCTATCCTACTGAATATGCTGTGTAATTGATATGCACTTTAATATAGGACAGCCTATTTAAAAAAATAAAATAAAAAAAAATTAGCTGCCAACAGTATAGAGCCTGGTCAGACTGCATAGATGTTCAGGCTAGCCTGGATTTATACTGTTAGACAAAGGAAGAAAACGTTCCATTCTAGTAGGTAAAGGGTTTTCAATACTTTCTTAACATTTATAAATAAAAATTTGTCTTTCATTCATAAAAAAAAAATTGTCTTTACCCGCACATTGTTAAAACCTGATTCTGCCGTCCCTACACCACTAATATGTGCTAGCATATATTTCTGTGCCGTCTGAGCAATTTTCTATACCATTGGTAAGATCGATTTCTAAAATTTCATTATATTATCCCTAATGGATTGTTTCAAAATAGAAGATGGACAAGTCCATTCAGGGAATTAAGTAGGGTACAGGTTAATTTTGTTTGTCAAAATTTTAATAATCTTTAAATTCTTAAATAAGTATTCAAAATAAAAAAAATTAGTAATATATCAAACTCTCTTTTTAAATTAAAGAAAACAAATCTAAACTAATGAATTTGGGATCTGGACAGACCGGCAGATAAGAACTGGATTACCACTAAGTTCAAATCCCGCACCCCCCTAAAATCCATAAAAACATGCATACATAAAAATATTATTCCATATCTAGCTAATATGCGCAAAACAAGAGCAAGTTAAGTTTTTTTCGTATACATCTTATTGGGAGAAAAAAAAAACGGTTACCGTACAAAAATAAAAAAAAATATCAAACAATTCTGAAAGTCTTATTTATGATAGTCCATGAGTGCGAACTTTTCAATGAAAGTTCTGATATAATATCAACTAACTGATATGCATCTAATTAAAAATGGTACCACAAAAATACGTTTTAAAAAATCAATAGGAGTGCAATACAAATATAAAACAGGTATTGACAAATTCGGAAAGTACATGAGAAATGCAAGGCCAAACGACACCAATATAATAAGAATACCTCAAGATATAATATGAACATTGTTATACTAACAAGAGATGATGATGATAATGATAAATCAAATTTGCCTTGCTTTTCTGAAAAATATAAAATTATAAATATTTTCAAACAATTTTTTTTTGTTCCAGAACGATCAAATAAATAAAAAAGTAAACAAAATATACTTTTTTTAAATTATAAATAAATATTCATCACCCAACTGGCATACCTTTAGTGATGCTTATCAATATGTATTTCACAAAAAAAAACACCAAAAAAACCCAATTATTTTTAGCAGATCAAACTTGCACTTGAACAAATGTGACGAAATCAAAATTCACAAAATTTTAGAACATTGAATATGATGTGTTGTGCAAATCCTTAATTACTAACATCAGTTGCATAATCGTTAGTTTTCAGCAAAGTTTGTTTTTTGTAACAATGAATCTCCAAAATGTGTACACAAAAAAAACAACACACGCTGTACATTATAAAGAATATAAATACACTGTAATTTCACCGCATCATAAGTTGTAAATCAATGAATACTCAAAATATCAAAGAATATGCAATGTAAGAAAACCGGTCAACCTTCAAAACATAAATTGCCATTTACTTCAGTAAATAGTGCCGATGAGTCACAACTGGAAAATGAATTTATGCTTTGATTGATTTGTACAAAAAAGGTTAGCCCTGCTTTAAATCTGGAACTTTTCAGGTGTTTACAGAAAAAGAAAGGATTTCAATACCAAATATACTAAATTTTAAAAAAAAACTTCAGGCTGGACTTGTTCCAGACTGAATGCTGGATCCAGTCTGGATACTGGATCAAGCCTGGATCTATACTGGTAGCATAGGTAGCCCCGTCAATATCTACTAGTTCTTTGTGAGCAAACAATTGTATGTGCCAATAAATTACATATCTAGTTACAGCGAGTAATCAACTGTTATAAAGCTTCACTAAGCAGATGTGCGTTAATTAAATGTACATTATTTAGCTATTTCGTTATTATATAAGCATGATATTTTCAATATCTTTCTTCAAAAAATAAAACAAAATTTAAAAAATAATCTTCATTAATTTTAAAATAAAACAAAATTTAAAAAGATGATTCTGTCCTTATTTTCCTACACAGTACTTACAGTATTCATTTAACTTAGACATAGTTATCTAAAACATATAAATTATTTCATTTTTATAATATTAAATACAATTTCATGATTTACAGGCAATTTGAATGTTGTGGACATAAATGTTATGATACGATCTAGATTTTGAAACCAAAATAATAAACTTAAAAAATAAAATTTAAGTAGCAAAAAGTGTATCAATTTTTTTTGACGAGTTACAAAAATGGTGCATTTAGGGCGATATTTAAACCCTGATGATAAGCATATACGAGACAATAAAATTTACAGGGATAAAGACGAATGAAAATTATAGAAATGCGTAGGAAATACATAAATTAATAAAATGCGGGGAAAATGTAGACAACCCACTGACATCTGTTTACCCATGTGTGGGTTTCAGAAATAAAATATACATACCTTAAACACAGGTGCTCTCAGAAAACCAGATCAATTATTATAATATAGGTAAAATCGTAAATCAACAATTCAAAGTGAAAAGTCTTAACAAAATGAAAAGTGACGGCACAGAAAAAATATTACATTATATTAATACTGTATGTCTTAAAACCAGTTCTAAATAATTTGTTATCAGTCAAGTGCACAAAAAGGTCAAATATATATAAAAAACACAGAGTTGGACTGTCCAACAGTTTGGAACCTGAAAAAACTGCTGAGACATGTGACATTTAGTCTGCGGCCGGTACGCGACACAGAGTCTGATATTGGTACCCTGCATTTAGTCTGGTACTGGTTCCCAGCACCTTGACTGGTACTTAACTATTTGAATAATGCTCTTAGCAGACTGAGGATTAAAATCACATCCCCAAGTTTTCCAATGTAATAAATGACAGCTGTCAGCTCTACAGATTTAACCTATGTGCACTAAAATCATTTTCGGAGAAACTGTTTCACTGATTTGATCAAAGTAAAAAAAATTATTTAAAATCCCATTTTCACTATAGATACATCCATTCAGAAAACTTTTACTACTTATTTATGAAGGGGCCTAGCCTATTACATAAACTTTATGACCATGATCAAATCCCGTACGTATATTCACCTATATGTACCTAAAGTACATAAATATGTGACATAAAACTAATCATCGAACCATGTGACATGAAAATCATCTTCATTAGGTAGGTGTAGTACAACAGCTGTTGTGACGAGGAAAATGATCTCATCGTGAAAGTCCTCATAAAAAATATATATAAAAAAAGAACAAATATCCTACAGGATTTACACCAGGATATCTATGGAAAATGATATAATTAGTATATTAACTCATGAAAGACTAAGAACACAGTGCAAATATATCCCAATAAATATATGAGTCTAGGTACAAAATACAAAATGCAGATGTGATAATAGGCATTAACAATTAAGCAGCAGCACAAAATGGCACTTTGGGCAGTTACAAATCAACATTCTTGTCTCCCCTGCCTCAACAAAACTACAAATTATAGAAAATTCGTAAAACATTCAGAGTTCCTGTCGATATTTCTTGTTTGGCATACGTTACAGTCCTTATAATGGATTACAATTCCTCTAGCAATGTCATATTTCATATGTGTGTACAATTTTACATAGACGGTATAACCACTTGTATATATAACATTAAAAAATACAGTCATGTACAATACAAATGGCATGACCTCCCTCAGAAAATAATGGTACAACCCAATCAACTGCCCAATATAAATGTGCCGTCCAGTTTCACTGGCTAAACTGTGTTCAGACCAGACAAAAACCCACCAACATCAACCACCTTTCCTTCAAAAAAACAAATATGACTGCTACAGCAGACAAAATGTCTTCAAGACAAAATGTGTCTAAAGAGTTAGACACTCCAAATGTGTGAACCAATAATCAGCCTGGGCAGGCTTCAAACCAGTACACTCTCGTGCTCTATTGCTGTTGCGGATGCTGTGGAAAATGTTGCATCGGGGGCGGCATGATTTTCTGTCTTCGTAACTTCCCTCTCCATTCCTAAAGGTGACTCGAACTTAAGCTGGGTGTGCGTTCGCTGCCTTCCCGATGAAACCCGGTTAGACCACTGATAAGGTGCTTTAAGTCCACGCTTTTGTTGGCGCCGTAATTTCCTTTCTTGCATCATTTTTTGCAAAGTTTGTACCTTTCCGCGTAATGAGTCTTCGACTTTATTTACATTCTGATCAACAGTCTCACCTGTAATGGAAAGTATAAAAACTTAGTAAAAACTAAGAAAAATGCAGATTACTTATACAAAATAGTATGAATGCCTTCTCATAAATTTAACAAAGAATATGTCCTAATAGAAAAAGAGAATTGAAATTGATTTTATAATTCTTAACCCTGCTGAAACTTATTAAGCTTTCATTAAAGGAACTGTCGTAAAATGAAATCTGTTTTGAGGGAAACAAGATAAACATTTGGTAAGCCAACAGTACACATATACAGTCTCATCTGACTGATAACGTTTTAAGTTTTTTTAAATTGAGAATTGTTCAAATAAACAATATTTTGAAGATAAAGACGGAAGCATAAAAGACAATTACAATGAACTTAAAAGAGACAATCCTTTTATATTCAAGAAAATTTATTGTTAATAATTATATGCATACCTAAAACAGTTTTGCTAGTATCCTGTACAAATTCATTTTGTTGAGCTCGGGGAGTGCTGATGTGCCCCGCAGATTGCCGTAACTGAGGAGAAGCTAAAAGGAGGTCATTCAAAATCTGAAGAATGGTATCAATGTCACGCTTCGGTCGCCCCGTAGTCTCTTGTAATGAAGGATCTAAAGTACCTGTAACCATACAAACAAATTACGTTAAATTCTGATTATACCGTCGGTCAAACTTAATTTAACATTCTATACAAATGAATTATCAATTACATGTATATTGTTAATTAAAACGACAAGAAATTGATTTTTAAGGAATAATAGTGCTTACTGAAGCTGTAATAGGTACAGAACAAAAAGGAGTATTAGTCTTCTATACAAAATATGTGCACGCAGCTGAAAGGTCACTTTAAACTTGCCCAAAGTCTCGACCAACATGATTTTTTATAATCTTCCAAAGATATCTCTGTATTGTAACAAGCAGGGTGATAATAAAATAAAAAGCTCTTCAAATTTATTGGTGGACCAGAAAAAGCTTACCAGAAAAAGTCCCTGAATAGACTCCTTGACCTAGGTGGTTCACACTATCAATGATCGCCCCAGGGGCTTGACCTGCTGGGACTGGACTACCTGGATGAGGATTGCACGCACAATTTGGCTTCTGAAGAAATAAAACATGACACAAAAATATTAATTAACGGAAATGTTCAAATTTGAAAATAAAGAAAAGTTACAATGGCAAACCACTTATTTTATATAAATATCCTTTGACCTAAATATATTTATTTCATATATTGACATTTTGCATGATGAACAATATTTACACAAAACATTTTGAGATTGGTCTGAAAGCTATGAAAGCTTACGACAGTCCTTTAATTAACACTTTTTGAAGACCTGTTAACATGGCCTAAATATATTTAGCACTTGGCCTTTATATACACATCAGGTACACTCCTTTAACATGCAATTGACCTATTTAAAACTAACAGAACCTTACCTCTCTTTGGGATGTATTATTGCTACAGTGTGCTGGATTCCCGCCAGCAAATGTCCTGCGTCGTGAACTACAAGATGTTGACAATTGCAGTTGTACAAACATCATATGCTCTCCCAGTTTCATTGCTAAGAGTAAGGGAGCACGTCCAGTTAGAAAATCGTTCACCTGAAATATTTAAATAATGCTTATATCATTCACAATAACTAACTTGTCTAAATTCTCAAAAATATTGCAAATTAAATAGTCTTATTTTTTTCATGTAAGTATTACAAGGCCTGTAGGCACTCTTCTGTGAGATTGAAAAAGTGCATGATGACCCTTAAGATTGAGAAATAGATAAACTATTTCTTTATATAAGCAATAAACCTCTGAAATTCAATATTGAAAATAATATGACTTACTAAAGGAATACATGTACATAAAGATTTTATAAATGCATAAAACATTTTTACAATCCATGTTAATCTTTTACAATCTTTAAAATTAAGAGTAAGTGCTTTGGGAAAGTTTTTATAACTAATGATTAGTGTACGCATGATAATGTCTTTACTATTTAGAACAATTACTGAATTTTATAAGAAACTGCTTCAATCTGGTATCATACAGCCATTTACAGCTTAGAGAAAAATGTTATCTGGAACTTGGAAAATTTGGCATTACATCTTTTAGGGTACAAATAAATTTTACTTTCCATGCTTCATCGTTAACATTAGTTATAATAGAACTTATGTTTAAATTTTTATTCATCCATGTGAAGTTTAATTGACAACCCTGATTAAAACATTTCCTTATTAAATTTGAGAATTTTTTTAGTCAAAATATATTCACATGTCACAGCTAGATTCTGAGATTTTTTTTTTTGTTCTGGGTCAGAATCTCCCAGGGGAGATATTGCCCATACACAAATTAGCATAATATTTCAATGCGAAGTACAATAAGTTGGACTAAGTTTCTGTGGATGTACTTGTTGAACTATCCCTTATCAATAATATTTAAGTTTGTCTTATAATATATATGAGCCGCGTCACAACAAAACCAACATAATGGGTTTGCAACCAACATGGATCCAGACCAGCCTGCGCATCCGCGTAGTCTGATCAGGATCCATGCTGTTCGCCTACCAACCATATAACAAGACAAGAAACTGATAGCCAACAGCATGGATCCTGATCAGACTGCGCGGATGCCCATTATGTTGGCTCATATATTATAGTTATATAAAGTTACAAGTTCTATAAAGTTACAAGTTCCTTACCTGTGACTCAGAGAGATTTTCTAAGGCTTGCATGACCCGGCAGTTAGAATTTTTGTTCTGAAAATACAAAAAAACAAACTTTATATGATTTTGAATTCAAGCATGTACCCAAAAGGAAGCAAGTATCTGGAAATTTGGATATTTTTGGGGACATATTTGACTTGGCAACTCTCTATTATAATAGGGATTTTAAGTCATAGTGTTACATGAAAAGTCATCTATAATGCAAGGAGGGGACATCTTTTACATGTCTTTCACAAAAATGAAAGATTTTTTGGGAAAAAAAAAACAGATGGAGAGACCCTTTATTAACCCCTTACATACAAAATAACCCAGTTGCAGCAGGTTGAAAGTATGCTAAATATAACCTGAGTATGGTATCTTGCTGAAGGTTTAATAATACCTGATATATATCTTAATGTATATAAACACATGTGTCTACTTCTTTATTTTCTATATTTGTTATACATATGTCACACACCCATGTTTAATAAAATATCACCAATTTATTAATTATTTTTTTATACACGTAAAGATCAACTTAGAATCTACAGAACAACAGTTTGACATTTAACAAAGAAAATATCATTCTGATTATATAACAGCGGTTAATTGTAGAAGCATGGTAAGTCTTATATTCCATTCCGTAATGACGTACACCCATGTTAAACTTTGAAAAACATCTGATTTCAATTTCTCTGTAAAACATTACCTAAGCATTTGACATTTATGGAAATCTGTTTCATATGTTTGTTCTCCTATAATAGGCTCAATCAAATTAAATCTTGAAAAGTGAAATGGCAATTGGGAATTCAGAAGCTCGTCTTAAATTGCTTGCCAATCGCACAGAATGATAAGGCATTCTGCTTTTGAAATATGTTATTAATTTGCAATGAAGATATAATGTCAAATTGTAAATTACTATGACTAAGGTATTTTGTACGCAGTACACACAAATATTTAGATAAAAGATATCAAAGTCAATAATTCCTCTCCTAAATACTTTATCAACAAAATTTATTACCCTCCAATAAATGCAAATATAAACAAGAAATGCAAGCCTACACTTGACTATGAGTGGTTTTTAATACTTAAAAAAATTACAACTCAGTACAGGTGTATTAAATTTCTTTTCATCAATCATTTCACAAGCTTTAAATACTTCAGACTGACATATATTAACATGTCCATTTATCTTCTTAATTTTTTTTTTTGAGGGGGGGGGGGGGGGGGATCCAAAAATCCCCCAACAGAAGACTTTTATCTATATGCCCTTGAAGACTACTTTCTAATTCACCTTTAATCCTCACCTGTCACGATATTTATTGTTTATCAGATCATTCAATGTTCACTAAGTAAATATTTTTGAAACGCTAATCTATCCTTCAGAAACCAGAAGTGGTTTTTTATTGTAATATTGATACCACAATCGACTTTGATACTATGTTCAGATATGGTTACTCAAAGACGTTTCAAATTCAACCCTCGAGCCCATCCCAAAACCGTTATTATTTTCATCTGAAGTATTGGAAGCCATATCATAAGTAAACCTTCACAGTTTTATTACCCTATAAACCAAAAGGTCAATGGGTACAAATACATACATTTTGTTAAATAAATGTTGCTATGATACACTCATAGTCAGTTTATAATACAAAAGTTCTCTAAGTACAAACATATTTGTTTGTTTCATTTTGTTTTATGTTACATAAACACAATATAGGTCATATTGCGACTATGCATTATTTCAGGCACAAACAGACACCTGAGTAGAACCACTGATGTTCCGTAAGCTAACTGGACAGCTTCCTCACAAAGATAATCCTAAGTACCTGTCAGGATTTGGTTTGAAGTAAACAACCTTAGTGCAAATATGGTCATCATATTATTAACCCTTTAAACCTGGTGAACTTGTCTAAAAGAGTTCAAAGTATCCTGTTTGGAAAAAGCACTCTGAACTTCAATATAAAGTTGAATTAAGAGCACAGCTACATTAAAGACAACAATGCAGTGATCATAACAGCCTGATTTTTTCTTTGAAACAGGTGAGCTAAAAATAAGCTTAAAAGGTAATTTGATCCCGAAGTCGCTCATAAACCGCAACATTAAAAGTAACTTCACAATTGTTGTCTATTATAATATTAAAGTCAAACATAAAGGCAATAAAAGAAAAGGGGAAAAACATTTTTCTACCAAATAAAGAAAAGACACAATTGGTAATTTAACCTATCCTTTTTCAAATTTATCCATTAATTTGATCTTGATTTACATCACTGACTTGTACATACAAAAATTTTACATTCACATTATAACAAAATATTATTTAACTTAAATATCTACACAGTTAAAATACTTACAAAATCAGAGTAAGGTGTTGAAGCATCTTATAGTTTTTTCCCCCTTATCAACTTTAAGTAAGTAACTTAATGAAAAATAATTCATCGAAACACAAAATAAATTGAAACATTATAAGACCATTTCATACAATATAATAATTTTAAAAAATTACCATTTTTGAATACATCCTTCCTAGATCCTATAAATAATTATTCCAAATTCTTTATTATATTCACCCTGTATTTATTTATAATATTGCACTAATGACAGCCTGTCAGAGTTATGAATACGAACTTGCGTTACAATGAATACGAACTTGCCCGTTACAACTGTTAATAAACTGTGAGTAGTTAAACTACAGTTACACTTCCTGATCAATCATACACCACCTACACAACTGAGGTGATATTCTGTATATAACAAACTCGGTAGGATTTCTCCCACTTCCTCCGATAAAAAAATATAACCACTACAACGTTAAACCGTTACAGTACTGCAACAAGTTTATAATGTTGAATATAACTGTGGTATATATATTTACCGGTATATATATATATATTTAACTGAAGTATTGGTAAAATTCAACAACTGCGTCTAATATTTCCTTAACATTTTCTTGTTTGAATACTTGACGAACTTATAGAGAAAGCCGTAAAATAAACCTACAAGCTGGAACGCCCACGCATATTTTAAACGTATTCAAGATTTTCTGTAAGACACTTTTACAATGAGCATTGTTATTTATCGAATCATCGTAAAGCAGTGTTGATTTAACATTAAAATTCTTGATCGAGCTTAAAACGGCAAACTGCTTTAAGAAAATTCCTACATTATTATAAAACAAAGTTTATTTGCATTTATGAAATTCTTTTCACCTGTTGTAGTGTAACAAAAATCATATATCATCAAATCCCATGTGGTTATTGAAGGAACATATTTATGATCTTTTCTTAATCATTCAAAACACTTCGAACATACACTGTCAAGTAGGTTTACTTTATTTGGTTTAGAAGTTAATTTCCTTATTTGGCAAGACTGACTTTATCACTTACAATTTTTTACTACGCTTCATACTACGATATGAATAATAGGTCAATACATCGTCACCTGATTACATAACATTGTACTAAGATGACATGTAATTCTTTTATCGTAAAATCCTTATTTACCTGCTAAATTTGCTAATGGATTTGCCCTGTTTTGAATTTGGAAAAGTCCATTTGAAGATTATGGGATTTCAATATCAAAATATAAAAATTGAGCTCAGAGTCCAGGACTAACAGTGTTAGAGCCTTGTCAGACTGCATGGATGTGCAGGACGCCGGCCAGACTCTATACGGTGGTGGCCGAGACTTAAATCATTTTTAAATAAAGTTCACATCAATTATCAATAAATCTAAATAAAAACTTAAAACATTATCATTTTCATTATCATCATAAATTTTGATTATATATACCCACTGATTAAAACAGTCATTTGGATTTTATATACATGTATATGCCAAGTTGAATAAAAATAATTAAATCATACAATTATTTTTTAATTTCTATAAAACAGCTAGTGGCTTAGTAACATAAGAAAAATTAAGACAAAGGATGGGCTATATCAATACAATGTACATAATATTTTAATAATTTACTATGCTTTAGTCTGGCTTAGTATACATGCATATTTATGAATCCCCAAACCTCATTTTTTTAATCTACATATTGGCAATCCTTGAAATAGTATGTCTTCCTGGTTACCCTTCCCTCATTTATTGATATGTGAATCAATAATGATAAATGAAATTAAGCATAAAAGGAAACTGTGAAAATATAATACGGGTAATCAATAATGATTATAATCAATTGTGAAAATCACTGAAAAAAAATTACCTTTGTGACAGAAAAAATGTTTTGAAGTCAGCGACCTAATAAAGTTGGTGCAAGGAAGTCTCTAATTTTTTTATATCTATAAAGGGCATTATAAAAAATCTTATGCACATAAAAAAGTAATTGTCTGGGTTTTTTTTCCAGTCTAATATGAGAAATTAATATTAAATTAATTTTTTTTTGCTCATGATGTTGCAAAAAAAAATGTAAAGTAGATGAAAAATAATTGTGTTCATGTCAAACAAAGGGAAACATTAAATCATTTAAAAACCTCAAAGTAATAAAGAAGTTTTGTTTAACTGTCACCTTATAAAATTCCCCCCAGAAAACACTGTATCCTTAAAGTTAAAACATACGGCTTTACAACATTCATTATTCTTTTTAACAATTAATAGCTTGTTCATGTATACATTTGATGAACTACTTTTCAAAAAACATTAATTATGAAGTTGATAATGAAATTGTTACAAACATGTTTGAAATACTGGTCTACTGGCAGTCCGAAGAAAAAAAATATCTGAACACTGATATACATTTACTTCACAATAAAATGTACATTGCAGTTTAAACCTCTATATTCAATAAATCATTATTTTTTTTTACATTTTCTATATCAATGTACTTTTTCGTTCGATTGTATGTATAAGTTGAAGCAAACATTGCACGAAATTTCCCCTACGAGGATCAAACAATCGGAATATTCCCCTCCCTACAGGGGACTGCTCCAGCAGTCAGAGACATTAATGTCCAAGATAAATTATCCGAGAAATTCCACCTTGTCTAAGGATTGAACCAGCAACTTAAAGATCAAACCAGCGACCCAAAATTGCTTTTCACGCAACATT